AGTATCGTTGGCACCAGAGGCTAGGGCATCCGGCTTTTTCAGTGTTGAGTTTATTACCTTTGTCGTTTTCTACTAATAAGTCGTTAGCTCACAGTCCTTGTGACACATGTTTTCGAGCAAAACAGACAAGAGAAGTTTTTTATCAAAGTTTGAATAAAACAAATGAGTGTTTTGAGATGATTCACTGTGACGTTTGGGGTCCTTATAGAGTACAATCCTCCTGTGGAGCACGGTATTTTTTAACTATTGTGGATGATTTCTCAAGAACAGTTTGGACCTATTTGCTACTTGAGAAATCAGAAGTGAAAACAGTGCTTCAAAACTTCTGTGCTATGGCGTTTAAACAGTTTAATAAAGAAGTTAAGACAGTTCGCAGTGACAACGGCACAGAGTTTATGTGTCTGGCTGGATTTTTCCGTGAAAAAGGTATCATCCATCAAACCTCGTGTGTAGCTACTCCACAACAAAACGGACGGGTTGAGAGGAAACATAGACACATACTTAATGTGGCCAGATCATTACTTTTTGAAGGAAATATGCCTATTAAATTTTGGGGAGAGGCCATACTTACAGCATCTCATCTCATCAATAGAACACCATCATCAGTACTCAACAATGCATCTCCTTATGAGTTATTATATGGAGTCAAACCATCGTATGAGCATCTTAGAGTTTTTGGGAGTTTATGTTTTGTTCATATGAAGTCAAGAGCCAAGGATAAATTCGGGTCAAGAAGTAGAAGATGTGTATTCGTTGGGTATCCTTTCACTCAGAAAGGATGGAAAGTATTTGACTTGGAAACAGAGGAGTTTCTTATCTCACGTGATGTTGTCTTCAAAGAAACAGAATTTCCGTTTGCGTCTCAGTCACCAGTCCCAGCAACAAATCAGTTACCTCCACAAGTTATAATAGATGATGACTGGGAGATTACACGAATATTTCCCATTCAAAACAGGGGGAGTACTTCTTTGGTTAGTAACCAACCTTCAACCTCTAGTGAAAATTCTCAAACAGAGACGTCTATTACCATACAAGATCAGACATCACCCTCTACTACTCAACCGGATACAGCAACGACAACTCAGAATATCTCAGAAGTTGTTCCAGTGGCTACAAAGGCTATAAATAATCCAGTTTCATGTGAAACATCTGGACGTGGTCAAAGAGTAAAAGTTCCATCGGTAAAGCTCAGGGACTATGTCACGTACAATGCTGTTACTCTTCAAGACCCATCTCTCTCACCTCCCTGCTCTGCATCTTCGTCGTCTCGTAACGATCCAGGTAAGACACCTTATCCTCTGAATGATTATGTGTCTGACCTAAAATTCTCTGTTTCTCATCAAGCATACTTAGCTGCTGTTACTGCTGGCGTAGAGCCACGTTCGTATTCAGAAGCTATTAAAGATAAAGTATGGAGAGACTCTATGAAACTTGAAGTAAACGCACATGAAGAACTTGGCACATGGGAGTTAGCAACACTTCCTCCTGGCAGACGAGCCATTGCGTCAAAGTGGGTACATCGCATCAAATACAATGCAGATGGTACCATTGAACGTCACAAATCGCGACTTGTAGCCTGTGGAAATAGACAAGTTGCAGGTGATGATTATGGAGAGACATTTGCTCCTGTTGTTAAGATGGCCACCGTGCGGAGTTTGTTAAGTCTTGTTGCAGCAAAAGGTTGGGAAGCTCATCAAATGGACGTCCACAATGCTTTCCTCCACGGTGATCTCGATGAAGAAGTTTATATGCGCTTACCTCCTGGCTTTACTCACTCTGATCCGCGTAAAGTCTGTAGGTTGCGTAAAGCTATATATGGCTTGAAGCAAGCCCCACGTTGCTGGTTTGCCAAGCTATCAAATGCACTACTCAAGTTTGGTTTTGTGCAAGCTCATTCAGATTATTCATTATTTACATACACCAAAGGAGCAAAAGAAGTTCGTGTTCTGGTATATGTAGACGATTTAGTCATCGCAAGCAATGATCTTGCATTACTCACTAAGTTCAAGACCTACCTTGGTGAATGCTTCCGTATGAAAGATCTAGGAAAATTAAAATATTTCTTGGGTATTGAAGTTGCAAGAGCTGATCAGGGGATCTTTCTTTCCCAACGAAAGTATACATTAGACATCGTTGCGGACTGTGGCTTACTTGGTGCTAAACCGGTATCTATCCCAGTTGAGCAGAATCATCATTTAGCCACTGATAATGGACCATTGTTTTCAGACCCAAAGAAGTACAGACGCCTAGTAGGACGTCTTGTGTACTTATCTATTACGCGTCCAGAACTGTGTTATGCGATTCACTTGTTATCTCAGTTCATGAAGTCCCCACGAGTTGTTCATTGGGAAGCTGCTCTCCGTGTAGTCAGATTTCTGAAAGGGTGTCCAGGACAAGGTATTTTGTTGAGCTCAGGCAGTTCTCTTCAGCTTTCAGTTTATGTGGATGCAGACTGGAGTGCTTGTCCTCTTACCCGTCGGTCTTTAAGCTCTTATGTTGTGCTGCTTGGAGGGAATCCGATATCTTGGAAAACTAAGAAGCAGAAAACAGTTTCACACTCTTCCGCTGAAGCAGAATACCGCGCAATGGCTGCAGCAACTAAGGAGCTAAAATGGATAGTCCCTTTAATGAAGGAACTTGGCATTCCAGTTGCCAAACCAGTACCTTTCTACTGTGATAGTAAGGCAGCAATTCATATTGCAGCAAATCCAGTTTTTCACGAACGCACAAAGCATATTGAGAGAGATTGTCATTGTGTCCGTGATGCGGTTAAAGCTCGTCTGATTTCTACTACACATGTTCGTACTAAAGACCAAATAGCTGACATACTCACTAAAGCTCTGGGGCGTTCACAGTTTGAGTTTCTCTCTTCCAAGTTGGGTGTTCAAGACTTTCACGCTCCAACTTGAGGGGGAGTATTAGGGAATCCTATTGTGATAAGGATTACCTATTGATAAGTCTTATTATGTTAATGTTTACTTATATCTTAGAGATAAATACGAGTAGAAGTAGGAGATTATAGTCGGTGGTTACTCGTGTATATAAGCTGATGTAATACGTTCAAGCAATACAAGTTAAAAGTTTATTGTTCAATCTCTACTTTACAATCTGTAATTCTGTAATTCTGTAGTATTCACTGTTTTGCAAATAAGTACCTTCACAGTAATCTTTTCGTAAACAAGACCTAAACTATACAGACTTTTGGATACCGTAGAAAATCATTGTAACATTTTTAATTCTGCTGAGATGATTCAAGCTGTGTTGGAAAGTGGAAACTAGTAATGCTGGCTACCAAGCCGCCATGCAGCGTTTTACGGAACCGGAATTCAGTGAAGGTCTGTTGTCATATCAGTTCATATCTACTGTTACTTTGTTTTTTTGGTCTACTGTAACTGAACAGTTGTTATAAACCAATATTATATATATAGATCCTCAATTAGATGATGGTCAAGTAACAAGATAGTTAAGATTCTTAAATACAAACACAAACAAACACAAACACAAACAAAAGAATCAAATGAAATTCATACCAAACTTAATATTGCATCATAATGGTATATTCTAAATGAAAATAAATTATTATAAAGTACATGCCAATTCTTATTAATATCAAATAGACATTAAGAACCTTACTTAGCATTACCTTTTTCGGTAATTGCTCCATTTGCTGGTGGACTGATGGTGGTAAGTGCCTAATAAGAAGGTAAGAAAATCTCTAAAAGAAACTCTATAATTTTAAATATAATTCTATAGTTTCATATATAAAGTTTTTTGTTCTCTAAAAGGAAATTTCAAAATTTTAAAATTGAAATTTTGAAGAGTGAAATTCTATATTTGAATTTTCAGTATTCAAAACTCTATTTAGAAGTTCATTTTTTTTAATTTTATTTTGGTCCTTACAATTACAAATAAAATTTATAATTCATAAATATTTTTTTGTTTATCGTTTTAATACTTAAAATTTTTTATATCTCTTAAATTTTCAAATTAATTTTCACATTTTATAAGTTTAAGTTTTAAACATAAAACTAAATAAAAATTTAAAATAAAATTTAATATTTTCTTTGAGTGTAGTATTTTTAAAAAAATTAAAATTAAAATTAGACAACAAAATTGTGGTATTCTGCTTGTAGTTAATATTTAATCATATATTTGTATTTATAATTTTATATTTTAGTATAAGATTTTATTAATTAATATTTTTGTATAATATATATATATATGTTTGTTATATAAATGTTTTATGAATTTACATTAACTATGACACATATAAGGGTCATCATGTAAAATATAAATAAATTTGAAGTTAAATTTGAAGTTTTGCGCTTGAAGAAGAACTTCTTAAAACTTCAAATATGGAGTTTTCGAAACTTCAATATAGATAGTCTTTTGGAGATGCTCTAAGATGGTGGTAGCTTTTGACAAAAACCATCTACTCCTATTAAAAACATCTCTAAAATGAAGACTGGGAGTTGTCCAAAAAAAAAAAAACATTAAGGCTGGTTAATAAACCTAACCCGAAAATCTGTACTAAACCCGATCCGATGAAATTGAATCTGAACCCAACATAAGTGTCAAATGGATCTTGTCTTGCCGTATTTTGGGTTATGGGTTTACTCGAACCGAACCCAAATTTAACTAAATATCCAAAAAAATTTGAAATTTCAAAATTCCAAAAAAGCTTGTATCCTACCCAATCTAAGTTTATAATATGTATCTAAAATACACTAAAATAGTATGAGTACCTAAAATAATTAATTACTACATAATAATTAAGTTTAATATGTAGTCTATTATATATTTTATTTGGTTAATATTAATGTTTTATGTTTGACATTGCATTTGAAGTTTAGCTATGAATAAATGTATTTTGAAATTTAAACAATGTTTTTGTTTTTAAGTGAAAATAGTGTTTTTTACGTTTATAGAATTTTAAATTTTAATATTTTATATTTTCATTATATGTGATTTAAGTTTATATCAAGCTAATGTAAACATGATTTTTGGTTAACGTATATTATGACACTGGGACATAAAAATACAATACATACAGATAAGTTTCTTTACTTTAATACATTACTAAGTATTTTTAGGGTATAACCAAGTACGAATTAATTTTTTAGAACCAAAAACCCAATTAAGATCCGAAACCTGAAATCATATTGTGTTTAACCAATTCTTGGGCATGCTATTGAATTCAAACCGAACCTGACTAAACCCGAATTGAATCCGAACCAAACTTTTATAATATCTAGATAGGAATGATTTTCGTAAACGCAAAAACATGAAACCTGATTAGACCTGAACCGAAACCCGATTGGGATCCCGGATTCCCAATCATTCATTTTTTTCATAAGAAATAGAATACAATTGGAGTGAAGCTTTAATTCTATTATAAATATATTGTATTTTGAATTAAAAAAAATATATTGATATATTGGAGAAGATGTAAACATTGTATCACCATTTGACATGTTGCTTTTTTCTGCTCATGAAACCGAAAGAGTATTGTCTTTGATTGACTCATAACTATTGTTTATGTTGTGCTAATTAGCCAAACCATAGAAAATTGGATCACTGTTGCAATTACTACTCTGGCATATATAACCTCCTCCTGGAAAATAACATTAGGCTGTATAGTTTCGTTGTCAAATGGATTTCCATCACGATGACTAGGCCTGGGCAAAAAAACTGTAACCGAAAAATCAAACCAGAACCGAACCGAAATACATAAAACTAAAATCAGACCAAAATGTTTAAATATCCAAATAGTTCCTATATTTTAATACCCAAAAAAACGAACCGAGAACCGAACGGGTACCTAAATATCCGAAAAACAAGTTAATTTTTTAAAAAATAAGATAAAATAACATTAAACCCACTTGAACTAGGTTAGATACAAAAGAGTAAGTACATTTTACCACCAGACCTCGTTATATTTATTCTTTTATATTATAAATATATATGATATTTCTATATTAAAATAGGATAAATATTTATAAAATTAACATTTTATTGATTCGAAGTCTTGTTGGATTGACTAATATGTAAGCGTGTAAACACTAGAGCATTTAAATTAATATATTAAGTAATATATATCGTATATACATATATATATATATATATTTTAATTTATTTATATATTAAATAGGTACCCGGAGCTGAACCGAAACCGAACCGAAATATCATAAGTACTTATTGGATATAAAAATGATTTATCGGATATATCCAGAACCGAATGGTTCCTATCTGGTCACCGAATATCCGAATGTGGAGACCTAACGATGATTAAGTTGAAAAGAGAACCAATATGATCCGTTCTACTAACAACACATATTGCCGGAAAAGACGGACGAGAGGGTGCAATTTAAAAACTAGAGATTATTTGCTCCCACACCCTTTTTGGGGTCGATATTAGAGAAATGCCTTTGATGGGACTGATCTCTTTTTATGACCAAATTGCCCTTTCTCTCTCTTTCATGCATGTGGGTTTGTCAGATTTTTTTTTCCTTTTCGTTAGAAACACTCTCTCTCTTTCTCTCATTCTTTCTTCAATTATATTTGTTCTCTTCTCTTCTCTTTTTCTTTCTTTTCTCCCTGTAATTTAATTGAATGTTGAAAGAAAATTTGTTATTTTTTTAATCTACTTTGATTTTTAAAAAAGAAAATTAAAAATCTATCAGTCTGTTAACACCTCCGATACGTATATTTGTTAACAACTAACACCTCTGTTAACATCGGGAACATGTTTTTGTTAACAGCTAAAATATCTGTTAACATCTATATTATTTATTAACAACTAACATCTATGTTACCATCTTTGGTACATCTATTTGTTAACATCTAATATCTTTGTTAACATCTACAATATTTATTAACAACTAATAATTCGGTTACATATATTCGTTAACATCTAACACTTCTGTTAACAAATATTATAGATGTTAACTATCGATAATAGTGATTATTTCCGGCGATTTTAAAGAGATGTCAATAAATTTAATTTTATTATGGAGTGCTTTGTGTAGTATGTCAATTGATTTTTAACGTAAGAAAAAAATATCTAGAAGAAAAAATGTGAAAGTAAAGAAACTATAATAAAAGATAAAGAGAGAAATTGAAAGAGAGAGAATGTTGCTTCAAAAGAAAGAGATATTGTCATAAAGTTAGCAGTGTCCAACCAAGGTGAAATTGTATAAAACTTTACAATTATGTCAACTCATGTATAAATCACTAATATAAGGTCCAAATATGGGTATTTCCCTAAATCTCTCTAAAAACTAAAAACATTTACGAGTAGAACCAAGCTTCTACCAACTTCGGGGAGAGTATTAATAACTAAAAGCCCCCATATTAAACAGAGACAATCTTCAAAAGCCTCTCTTAACTCTCAGTATTTCTCACATCTGCTCTTTGTAAACATCTTTTCCCTAAAAGTAAACGAAAAAAAAACAAATCGAAAAATACTCCCTAAGAGATTTACTCAAAAGATCCCAAAAGCAAAAGGCAACAGAAGCATATCATCAAGCTTCCAAGCATTACATAGGGGAAAAAACAAAAGACAGAGTTTCAGACAAGCATCGTTACATGTCCGTAAGAGCAGAGACATATATATAAACTTGTAGCTGCTACTGTTGTCGCGGGATAGCACGGGAACGAACAGGTGTCTTTGACGGACTCACCCTGCAAAATCCAACCATCAATATACATCAATATTCATCTTCATAACCAAACTAAAGAGAGAATGTGTAAGAGTTGGTTTGTGCTTTTAGACCTTATCGGTAAAGAACCAACAATGACACCACTGCAGTTGAGAGCAGTTATTGCACTTTCAGCCTGTGGAAGAAGAGTAAGATAGTGTGAAACTCAGTTTACTGACACAGCTGAAAACAGATACGTGTGCATCTACTTACCATGACAAACTCAACAAAACCGATTCTAGTTGGATGATGATAATCTCCAAGAAGCCTCAGACGGTGCACCTCTCCACACACAGCCTCAAAAAAGAGTTTTATGTCCGTTTGAGTCACCTGTATCAACATTGAAACTTAACCAAAGTTGGCTACTTTTAAGCTTTAGAATAGCTCCAGACCAAGAAATAAAGTCACCTTCTTGTCGATGTTAGTGCAGTAGATAGTTCTCGCACACTTCTCACGCTCATCTTCACTCTAAGAACCCAAAACAAGACTAGAAGTCAACGTCATAACCCTTAACGTTTAAAAAAAAAAAAAGAAGTCTCACCCTTGGCAAGAAAGTGGGGTTAACAGGTGCAATAGCTGTTTTGGACGGCATAACCTTCACAGGATAGAATCCCAGCACCGTCCCAGACAAGTTCAGCGCAGCTCTTGCACCCTCTGCACAAGTCACAAATTTGCTAAAACCATTAAACCAACCATGAACAGGCACAATCCAAAATAAGATTTAGATAATGAAACTAATGATACCTTCATCAGTGAACTCGATGAAAGCAAACCGAAGCACAGAGTTTGGGTCACCACAGATGCGACAGTCAACAACCTAAAAAACCAAATACAGTCAAGACAAAGAACACATCACAAACAAAAATGAACTTGTAGAAGGTTCTTAAACCTGTCCAAAACCGATGAACAAACCAGCAAGCTGCTCCTCAGTGACCTAATAATAAGAACAAAGAAAAAACAAGATAGTATAGGTGAGACTGAGAACACAGTAATCCCAGACAGTAACCATCAAAGAAAGGTGTGGAAAACCTGTTGGTCAATATCAGACACATAGACAGTTCTCCGAATGATGTCTTCACGCTGAGCCATACTTGTCCGAGGATTCATCCTCCGTTTCCCTTGTGGTCCGAACGACTTCTTCTGTTTCAAATAACAGACAAACAAAGCAACTCAAAAATCAAAACTACAAGACACAAAAAAGAGAGAACCTTAACTGAATAAACCCACAAGAAGACACTAGAGACCAAATCTAAACACACAACTAAGTAAAGGTGAAAGCTTTGTCATATAAAACACACAAGAAGACACTAGAGACCAAGCTTAAACAGACAATAAAGCAATCAAATGTGAAAATTGTAATTTAAAATGCCAAAAACACAGAAGCAAAGAAGAGACAAGAGATGTGTCTTAATACCCTTCTTAACCCGCCGTCTTCGTTAACGGGGAAATAACCCGCAGCACCAAACCCATTGTTGGGAAGGAAAGACCCAGCGACGGTGAAGAAACCACCGTTAGCGCCGTTAAACCCGTTAACTCCTCCTTGCTTGTTAAGTGAAGGAGGGACGAACTCTTTAGCCATGGGGTTAAGCTTAGATAAAAGCTCCTGGAGCTTTCTCATGTCACGCTTGAAGCACTCTCCACCGTCAGATCTCTCCACGTGGGATCCGATCTCACCACCCTGATCGTCGTTGGAAGAGTCTCCTGATCCTTGGCTGGTGACTGAAGACGGCGGCGACGGCGAGATCGCACCAACCTCCATACCAGCTCCGACGTTTTCGACGACCGTCATGATCAGAAAATGAGAAATTGCGAAATAAAAATGGGATTTCTTTTTTGAGGGGAAGACACGATCAGGTAAGACGAAATGAAAAGGGAACAGTAGCAGAAAGGGGTTCTATAAGAAGAAGCCACCAAGAAGAAGGAAGAGGACAAAAGAGTAATTAGCTAAAAGGTGATTAGATTGATGGTAATTAACTTTGTATTTATGATAAAGATTATGGAGCGATTAAAGCTCGAATTTTGATTTTGGTTTACCCTGGTTAGAGAGTAAAAACGATGGATATTGTAGTTGAACAATGATTTATGTACTTTTGATTAGATGAAAAAAGACTTATGTTTTTTTTTTCAACTAATTTGAGGGATGTCGTAAATCTATGGCAAGATTCAGATTAACCCGTTAAAAAGTACAATTCACTGATGGACCTATTCTCCAGATATTCAAATGGATGGTAAGCAATAAATTATATTTGTGTAATTATATGTAAAATTAGTAATTTTACACTGAAGAAGAAGACTAATTATTGGGTTTACCCCCCCCTAGGTTCACCATCCAATAAGATTGTATTATATCAGATTTGATATATTTTTAAAAAGGAAACAAAATCTTATTAAGTTATATTATGTTTTTAAAAATAAAAATATAAAAATAAATAATAATAATTAATAAAAACGAAAATAATTCTTTTTAAAGAAAATATTTTAACACTAAACCCTAAAAATTTTATGTTTATGATTTACCCAAGGGTTTAGGGTTTAGTATTAGAGTTTATGGTTTAGTGTTTATGATTTACCCAAGGGTTTAGGGTTTAGGATTAGAATTTAGGGTTTAGTGTTTATAATTTACCCAAGGGTTTAGGGTTTAGGATTAGAGTTTAGGGTTTAGTGTTATAATATTTTTTTTTAAGAATTTTTTTATACAAATTATTCAAAGGTTTATGATTTACTTAGGGGTTTAGGGTTTAGGATTAGAGTTTAGGGTTTAGTGTTCAAATATTTTCTTTGAAAAAAATTATTTTCGTTTTTATTAACTATTATTATTTTTTATTTATTTTTGTATTTTATTCTTAAAAACATAAGATAACTTAATAAGACTTTGTTTACTTTTTTAAGAGATATCAAATATGAAATAATGCAATTCTATTGGATGGTGAACCTAGGGGGTGAACCTAAGAATATCTCGAAGAAGAATCAATCTTTGGCCTAGACCGATCGATAAGACAACTTCTCAACCATAGATACCACTAAACCACCATTATGTCTATGTGATTGACTTATGTGTTTTTTCAATAAATTTTCATTCATAATAGAAATTGCGAAATAAAAATGGGATTTCTTTTTTGAGGGGAAGACACGATCAGGTAAGACGAAATGAAAAGGGAACAGTAGCAGAAAGGGGTTCTATAAGAAGAAGCCACCAAGAAGAAGGAAGAGGACAAAAGAGTAATTAGCTAAAAGGTAATTAGATTGATGGTAATTAACTTTGTATTTATGATAAAGATTATGGAGCGATTAAAGCTCGAATTTTGATTTTGGTTTACCCTGGTTAGAGAGTAAAAACGATGGATATTGTAGTTGAACAATGATTTATGTACTTTTGATTAGATGAAAAAAGACTTATGTTTTTTTTTTTCAACTAATTTGAGGGATGTCGTAAATCTATGGCAAAATTCAGATTAACCCGTTAAAAAGTACAATTCACTGATGGACCTCTTCTCCAGATATTCAAATGGATGGTAAGCAATAAATTATATTTGTGTAATTATATGTAAAATTAGTAATTTTACACTGAAGAAGAATCAATCTTTGGCCTAGACCGATCGATAAGACAACTTCTCAACCATAGATACCACTAAACCACCATTATGTCTATGTGAATGACTTATGTGTTTTTTCAATAAATTTTCATTCATAACAGAAAATCATATAAGGTTGACTAGATTATTTATTTAAGATCTTTCTTTTTCAAAAAAAATATTTTGTATATTAAGATCCTATATTTGGATTCTCAAAATAAAATGATCCTGTCTTTTATTTTCTAATTGTTTACATCATATTTTTTCTTCCACGTGAATATTACGTTTACAATAACTTTTCCTAACCAAAGACAATATTTTGATGTTAAAAAACAAGAAAAAACAAAGTCAAGATTTTACCCAAAATTTTTATATAATTTTCTAATAGATATTTATGATTATTAATTAAATTAATTAAACTTTAAATACTTTAAATAATTATTTTTCTTATTTTATTTAACTATTTTTGCAAATAGTGAAAATTAACTAAAACAGAATAATGAATATTAAAATGTAAATAGACTAAGTACAAAACAACTAATATAAACATATACAAATGTACACGTATAAATACTAAAATTTTAGCATATAGATGATAATTTGGTATATTTTAGATTTTAATTGTTTGAATTTGGTAGTTAACAATAATCAATAGAGTTTGTCAAGGTCATACATAAATTATTTACCTATAAAGATAAAAATGAGTATATATTAGAAAAAACTTTTTGAAGTTAACATAAAATTTAAATAAAAGAAGTTTTGTGTCTAATCAAATAAAACAAGTATAAATTTATAACATATAAGAATGACGAATTTTGTTATAAAAACAGTTGATAAAATAATTTATAAAATAATTGAAGTGAAAATTATCAATTTTTTTGCAGCCAATAAAAACAATACATTTCGTTTATTACAATCAACTATCCATTGAGTACATGCCACATGGCCTAATTCACATTGTCATGAACATTCAACATATTAATTTTTTTTTTGAATATTCGTTCATCTGTTTCATTTCCCAGAAATAACTAGAGTTTTTTTTCGCACATTCGCGCGAAATTAATTTTTATAATTGATTTAGTAACATTTTTTCAACAAATAGATATAAATTATTAAGAATTTTTTAGGTTTTAACGAACCTATCCAAAATGGAAGAATTCGACTAGAATTATGTCTAAAATTTTATAATATCCAAAAAGAGTAATTTTAAAATCTAAAAAACGATAGCCAAAACCCGATATATATATTCAAATGTGTATCTGAATGCGCATATTTAACTAATTATGTAAACACAAAAATATTATTTTGCTAACCAGTTTGAATTCTTGTGCTAATGGAATAATTCCATTCAAATATGTGAAATTATTATGATTAACACATAATAATAAATGATGTCAAATGATTATGCTAAATACAATTAATAAAGTAGTTTAAAAGAGTGAAAAATGTAAAATATATAATAAAACATGCTAAATACAATTAGTGAAATAGTTTGAAAGAGTGAAAAATGTAAAATATATAATAAAACAGTTAAAAATAAGTAAGTTCTATTTGTACTTTTAAATAAATGATGTCAAAGTTATTTGAAAATAATCAATTAATAAAATAGTTAAGATGAAAAAAATAAAGAAAAAAGTATAATAAATCTGTTAAAAATAAAATTAGTTTTATTTTGTATTTCAGTTTTGTTAATATAGATTCAACATTTTACTTCTCACCCAACCGTTGGATACAAATTTTACACGTAAGTAAATGGTTTTAGTGAATTATTGGTTGACTTGTAAGGATATAATCTATAAATTTCTATTTCATCTATAACTCTTTAAATTTTTAAACCTAAAACAACAAAAAATTGAGTGCAAAATTTTTGGTTATGAATCTTTTATTTTTATTTATAAAGGATATGATTATAGTTTTTTATATTTTTTCATTTAACGTTTAGTGTCGTTACTATATATATAACTATAACAAATATATCTACATTACAATTTTACAACAAATATTTTGTAGCTACTTTCCTACTTTCTTTATTTTATTTTATTTTAAGATCATAACAAACATGACCGACAATTGATTTGACATAATGTAAAATAATACTCGCTAAACGTAATATATTTCGCCTTGATTATAACACTAAAGCCAAGCCATGCATTTATCCAAAAAATATGTGGTTTTAAGAAAAATTTCAGATTCTACATGCATTTCTATATAGTAAAAAAATCAAACTATGATATGATGTAATATAAAAAAAATCTTATAAGTAATATTGTACTAAGATACCAATCATATCTAGTGTTGACGACTGATTCTACATGCATTTGATTGTAAAAACTCAAAAACAGTGTCTAGTGTGACGACTGATTGTATATGTTTGTTCAGAAGGCCAACATTTTCTTGTAACTTTGTTCATTTCGATAAATATATCTACTTTATTATATTTGAAACTTATTAATTCCACAACTATTTTGTATTATCAAACCTTTATACATAACTTACTTTCTGAAATTCAAGGACAAAGGAAGAAAACTGCGAAAGTGTTCTAATAGATAAACATGAACTAAACTACAACTTTACTTGGCGACAAAGAACAAAGCAGTGACAGTGACAGAACATGTTTCTTAGTTATCCAGTTTCTGAAAAATACGTTACTCATTAACTATTTCCATTAACTATTCGTCTTTGTTTACGCAGTGAAGTAAATTGTAAATGTCACCAAAACATTACCGTGAAGGCTAAACAATTGCCCACAACATCCCTATTGTTGTGCAAGTCACCAGTTCTGTCACCAGCTTCAAGCGCTTCACTACAACTCTAATTTTTTTTTTGAAAATGAATCTGAATGTAAAATTTCATTCAATCAAAAACATCTTTTACAACAAGGGTGGACCAAGATTTATGCAAAAAAAACATCAAGGCAACTAACAAACTCCAAAACACTAGAAGAAAGAAACACCAAAAACCCAAAACACAAACCTCTAAATCACACCAACACCCTATTGGGCCGTATGAGGCCTTAGTCGTTAGACCGTTGTAATTAGGTTTACTTAACCGTCATACTCTCTTGTATATAAGGCACAGCCTCTTTAACGTATCAAATAAGAATCATCTTTATACTACTAAGGGTTCTTGACATCGTATCAGAGCATTAAACCTAACTCTAGGTTTTCTGGTTTTCTTGATCCTTCTGAAACTTTCTTTCTCTCTTTCATTGACCTTA